CTGTACCTCTGATAACGTCAGATCCGTACCTCTGATAACGTCAGATCCGTACCTCTGATAACGTCAGATCCGTACCTCTGATAACGTCAGATCCGTACCTCTGATAACGTCAGATCCGTACCTCTGAAAACATCAGATCCGTACCTCTGATAATGTCAGATCCGTACCTCTGATAACGTCAGATCTGTACCTCTGATAATCGGACGTTTGGGAGAAAAACTTCATGAAAATATAAATGATTGTAATTTGAAAAAGTTGGAGCTTCTGTTTTAAAGATTTCACTCAACAATTTAAGAAGTTTTATTGGAGGTTTGGAAATTCTACTTTTGTAACAGAAAAATCTGCTCAGAATAATGAAGTCAGAACTTCTGTATCTGAATGTAAATAAAGCTGGTGGTTCTGATCCACGTTGGACTTGATGAGTCAGCTGCTCAGTCTGGATCAATGAGCTGATCAATAATCAAACCTGTGCTGGACCACCTGCTGGTTGGACGAACCTTTGGACTGACAGGAACATCCTGGATCAAGTTGAAATCTGCAGCTGAGCTTGGATGTGTCCAGGGATTAGACACAGCCCAGTGTGGACTTCCTGGAGCTCTTCATGTTCTGCAGAAAGTCTTCTGACAGTGAGAAATGTTCTGAGTTGTGATGTTGTTCCTCTGAAACTGTTGGTTGTTTCTGTGTTTGTGAGTCTGGATTGTGTTCATGTTTGCTCGATGCAGAACAAACCAAGTACACTTTGTGTAAATACAGTTTATTTTCCTGTGATGCGATGGACATGTGACGTGTAAAGGTGAACACTTCCTGTTCTGTTCAGTCAGAACCGTGCAGGACGGTTAGAACCTTTCAAACTAAAGAAACACTGCCTCAGTGAGTCCAGGGTTAGCCTAGCTTAGCACAAGGACTGGAGCAGATCAGTGGTGTGACATCAGGGTGCAGGCTACTTCCTGGTTTACATTCAGACAAACTGTTCTCACTTTGATCTTAACTTCCTGTTAGACAGGAAGAAGGTGCCTCAGTCTGACCTCATCAGTCTGATCCTGAACATCAACCCTGAGGGTCAGAGACCTGGTTCTGGTTCTGATCTGAGTCCAAGAGGGTCAGAGACCAGGTTCTGGTCTGAGTCCACAAGGGTCAGAGACC